GAGGCAATTCGAACGGAAGTGCTTTGTCTTCCGGGCAAGGGGAAAAAACGAGTTGGTCGAAAAACGATTGACGTTGGAGGACGCATCCTTACCTTGTCGTTGCTCAGCGAAATCGACGCCACTGTGGAAGAGCGCAAGGCGGCCACCAAACGAAAGCTCGCCTTACAGGGGAAGCGGGGCAAGATGCGGAAAAAAAGCCAAAAGGGCAAGCACCCATCGGGCATCGGTCTTGTGTCGACAAACTTGGTGGACGGCGCAGACAGCGATAGCAGCGGGAACGATGAGCAGCCCGGAGACGGCGTAGTGGAGCCTTTCTTGCTTGTGGATTCGGTCGTAGTCTAGCTATTGAATGTGAACGATATATTTGTTGATGTATTGTACCTCAATGTATCCTCCGAAAGCACCACTTTGGATTCCCAACTCAAATGAAATGATGGAATATGGAACACTTGTGAATGCATAACCTATGGAAACTGATTTTCTTCCTGCTAAAATTTGATAACCTAACCACAACATTTATATGCAAATAGCTATACGATATTCAAGATAAAAATGTGCGTCTTAAATTGATTGTCAAATTTGGATTAAACTTGCTTGGTTTTTGTTGATTTAGTCATTGGAAATGAACCGATACCCAATATAATTGGTATGAGGTTATTCCCCATTAATCCAGCTACAAACTCCAAGTTTCAGAGGTAAAAAATGTTGAACGAGCGTGGAGCTTTGAAAGTTCTTCCCAGCCGCCTTCCTCTGATGCGTCTTAAATGATTGTTTACGTTAATGGAATTTTGAATTGTCGGCAGTATAATGGAACAGAGGAAGTATTTCGTATTTTATGAAAATGAGTGCCAGGCGTGGATGGTCTCAAAACTCGCATTTGTGTTATCCGGATAATCTGGGTAATAATCAATCAAACGTTCGGAATATCTTGAAACATGGACAGAAATATTCCGCGACCAGTACTGTAGGCCTCGGCAAGGTAAGGTAAAAGTTAAACGGGGTAAAAAATAATTTACGTTTACTTTACCCTTACCTTACCTCGAAAGTCCTGGTTACGAGTACTATTAATAGTACCATTTATCTTACAGTGCACACTTACACTGTACTAGTACCTTACTGGTACCCCCTTAAGTAATTTGCAGTTACCTTTTACCACTCATTGATTAACTTTACGATCCACTTGACTGTATACTGAGTATTGTCAAGTCGGTTCGTAATTGGAGTCGCCAGTAGAATCGAATAGACTAGGCAAATACCGGTACTCGATTTGAGAATGAACTAGCCATTCAAAATCCATTCTAAGCCCCCCCCCTTACAAGATTTTGAATGGTTCAACCAATCAATACGTTTTCTAAACCCCCTCCCTTGCAGATTGAACGCACTGTCAGTCCAATTCTCAATATTCGATTCGCAAAGCAAGGTTCACCGTCGCCACAAACTCATCGGTACAACACGCGGTCGTCATAAACAATCACCGCCCAACAACAATCCCGCCCCACGATCAACTAGCAGCCGTCCACTCTGTTGGTCATGTCTTCTCATTTCGTTATATCCAGGCGGAGGTGGTACTCACAGCCTGTCCAAAGACACGAGAAATGGTAGTGCGCTTGATGCCGAGGAAGCAGTAGCGCATGCATGACGGTGCTTCTGGACGAATTTTGATGCTGGACGTGCTGCAGGATCATGCCATCGATTGAAATTTGGGAAAATACTGTGAGAAAGTCGGAGTGTATTGAACAATACACCATGTTTGTACTTCGAAGTATACTATAATGAATGCAAGATATATTGCCAAAATCATTCAAATACGGTTTCACTTTTGGACTGACAGTGAACAATCCAAATTTGCGTGAGAAGGACAATATAGTATCATTTCTTGTAAAAGATCTTGATTTATGTACTGTATTGTGGGTTCTACTCGAAATTTCCATGCGTGATTCGCTCAATCAATCGATGAGTTACCGAAACCTTTGTGATGGCATCATGTATAGATACAGAGAGGTTATATACGAACGCAATCCGAGCGAAGCAACCGTCGATGTAACTACAACCGATGCGTTCAAGGACATCACACTCCCATAGAGAGCAATCGCATGCGCGCCTCCCCATTACCCCAAGCACAAACATGAAGCAGTTGTGCTACCTCGTGTCTCATCTCTGTTCATAGACTTCAACCTACTTCTTGCCCATTTTACGTGTGAACCTTGTTCTAGACGTTAGCAAGATACTTGCATGAGAACCCGAGGCTGTATTACCTGTAGACATGGCGGAGTAAAAACGGTTGGCATAGTACGCATGTGCCGTGTTGCCACCACCCCCGATCGTATGCTGTGAGACCTATCACATTCCCGAATAGCCATTGGGATATACTGTATGATTGGCTAAAATTCGATACATATGACGAATCAAAACTTGGCATCGATTTGATGGCGTCGCAAAAGTGAAATTTTTAGCGGAATCACGATATGCTAAGCAAGTTTAACGTACAGTAAATCAGTAAATCTATACCCTATGGTGCACGTCATCTATAAACTACCAACTTTTCACAATATTTTCTGACTTCTCTTATATATTTATTATTCATTTCAGCAAATTGAGACGTAAAATCGACAGATCTCAATGCGGTGAAGAAATTCTACGTCTAAGATTCAAATTTGGTGATGAATTGATCCAGAAATAGATATTTAACCTAGCGGTATTTTGCATGGGCGCTTGGATATTTGGCCATAGGGGTGGCCACTGATATGTACAGTATCTTGATTTTTGTATATATAACTCTTATCCGTATATGATATCCGGATTCATTTGGGACCTTTAACCTCGCACTGGAGTGTGATAAAACGCATGAAATCGGTATTTAACGTATTTGATTTTGGGTTTAACTACATTAATTGTACGTTAAATAATAAAACCTCCACTCTTCGACTTGGCCAGTTGGGAGTGACGTGCATCATATATCCATTTATCCATTTCAACATTTGATTAATACTACTAGGAAGGTGGAGTTTTCGATATGCAAAGAGTCATCTCATGTTAACCCGCTCAAATATTGTATTCCATGCATACAGCGATGCAAGGCGTTGTCGATGGTTCTGATCGGGGGACCGCCCGGTAGCACGCGCATAGTTTACGAAGTACAAACGCAGACATCGATTTCGACACACACGTACTGCACTTTCATACAGATAGTATAGCTAATGTCCGGTATAGGGTGAAGGGTAATTACGCAGTAACGTAAAGTGTCAATTAATGGCGTAATGACGTATAAAACTAAGCCAATCACTGATCCCTCAATTGGAAAAGCGCTAATCACAGAAAAAATCTCCGAAGGTTAAAATAATACGTCAACAATTGGCACACTACTTTATAGAGGTATAGCATACATGAAGGGCTGTTACAGCTCAATTGTACGAAATACATTGCACTTTGATAATTGGTGGATTGCCCTGAATATTGTCTACAATTTAGGTCACTTCAGGATTCAAAAGCATGCCTCAATCAGGAATTATGGCCATTCTCCGAAAAACAAAAAAGGTTGTACTACACAATTTTGCGTTAATTCCAGCTTATTTTCAATATATTTCCACCAACCTCCGATATATTTCACCGAATCGCCAATATAATTCACCCAACCTCCATTATATTTCACGCCGATGGAAAATATCGGCGATATATTTCACCCAACCTCTGTTATAATTCACCCAACCTACGGTTAATTCCAACTTTCGAAAATATAATTCACCTAACAGTTGTTATAATTCGAGCTGGTATTCTAGAAAGATCGAAGCGCGCGAAGAGTTTCGCGTGCTTTCACCATTTTTGAATCTGCGCTCTATGGAAGAGGCCATCCCTGCACCACAAACTCCGGTACGTCTCTCTGTTGACCGCTAACATGAAGTTTCAAGACGCTGCGTTCTTAAAACTAGGGCCGTACTCCCCGATGCTGAACCCGATCGAGAATATGTGGCTGGCGTTGACAGTGAAGAGCCGCATTAAGACATCTTTGCGCGAACGAGTCACGGCCTTTATGGGGCCACCGCCAGACGGACAGACTTAAAAGATTTAACTCAACAATGAAATAGGAATTGAGCCGAATCGTTTGCATGTGTACACGGCCCGCCTTGAGCCTTTATGTCCGTGCTGAGAACACGGAAGACATGGACGTTAGTGTTTGAGCCGTAGATGTCGTAGATATGTTGCGTGGGTTGGTTTTAATTTACTTCCATGAAATATACCGGTGGTCAGGTGAAATATATTTTCGAAAGGTGAAATTAAGTGTTGGTTGGGCGAATTATATCGGAGGTTAGGTGAAATATAATGGCCAAATTTCAATTTGGCGTGAAATATAATGGAGGTTGGGTGAATTATATTGGCGATTCGGTGAAATTTATCAGAGGTTAGTGGAAATATTTTGAAAAAGAGCTGAAATTAAACGCAAAATGGTGTAGTATTGCAACAATTGGCATTTACCTTACCGTTACCCTCTTCACCTTACCTGTTGACACAAACGCTTACCTTACCCGTTACCTTTACCCATTACCAGAGGGTAAAAGGTAATTTACCTTAAGGTGATTCATGTAATTTCCGCCCGCCATGCAATTTACAGTTAATTTACATTTACATACTAGTACCGGTAGTTAATTTACATTTACATAGGAAAATTACAGAATTGAGAATTTCGTTGAGCAAAATGGACAAGCGATGCAACGCTGGGTCCTGCATAAACTAATATAGCTCCTCAAGACTACTGTACTAGTAGTATGTTTTGCAGCCTTATCGCATACACAGGCGACGAGCTACGAGACTTCAGAAGTTGGACAAGGTGGGTGGAAATTACATGAAACACCTTACCTTGCCGAGGCCTAGCGACCAGCCTCTACCGTTATTGGAGATTCGGTAAGCATTTCCGGACAGAACCCGACACCAACCTCTCCCATTGGTCAATCCAATTTTTTTATCGCTGATTGGCTATAACTTCATTTTGTATTATCGCTGATTGGCTAATGTTACAATATGATTTTGGATTTCTACCAGAAAAGGCGAAGTGGATATAATAGCCAATCAGATATTAATATCTCGGTGCGGTTTGTGCTCGGTTGAACGAATTACGGAAAATTGGGAAATGTGAAGAAATCGACAATAATACCATGCGGATTTTTATGTTATTTGGACGAAGTGGGTTCTGCATTTGCTAGCCGGAGGAGCTCGGGAGGCTTGGTCCACGTCGTCACCCCAGTAGCGGCATTGTGGAAATATTTGAACCCCGTCGCAGCGTCCACGTATTCATCCCAGCAGGTAGTCGTCGTAGTGGTGTCGGAGCTACCTACTTCATCCTCGGGATGTCCAGACACGTCCAAGTGATCAATCGTGGGCTGGGGCTCGTGTTTCGCCGTTGTTGAAAGCGCTAGTTTCGAGGCTCGAACATCGTGCAGCTGCGACTCCATCGCATGTTCCAGGTCACACAGTTTGCCCCACAAATCGTGGGCTAATTTCTCTAGCCACCAATATATATCAATATAAAAACGCTTGATATCATTGAACATGTCGGTAAAAATACCATCGCCATGCGATGATGTCGCGGCCTTGGCATGGGCGTCTCCGTTCAGCAACGACGTAAACCCAAACAGCAACGTGCGTTTCTGCAATCGCTCCTAATAACGCATGCGAAAACATGTCGAACAACTTGCTCGAGAATAAAAGGGATGGATCATCATATCGCACCGAGGCCAGCGCCTGTCGCAATGCTTGAACCTCTGTCCGCAGCGCCGCCACGATGGCCCCGTCGTCTGGTTGTTTCGGGTCTCGTTGGTTCGTAACCAGCTTTGGGTCCGCACAGGGTTCTTCATGGATGTGTAGTGAAAACAATTACTTGAAGTAATATGTATTATTATACAACCGACATATATTGTCGATTTGATACAAATTTGGGGACGGGGTGCAATCGAATCGCGCCGACCAAATCGATCCACAATCGATCTGATTGGTTGAATTTCATTGAGAAGGTTTTGATTGGCTAATAATTTGAACTCATCTGAAGTAGCCAATCAAATCGATTTAAATTCCAACGAGAAACCACGCCACAACACGAAATTTCACTTGAAAGCACAATATATGGTATAACAATTCTCGTACCGCAAGTGACTTTCATAGCCCGGGAGGCAAACTGCAATGTCGAGAGCGTTTCTTGGGCGCTGCTTTTGCACGGATTCAACGTCACGATAAACGCACACAGCCCGCCGCCGCCTCAAAATATCATGTTGGTACTCCATGATAAATAAACAAAGCAACATATTGGACCATAATAATAATATGTACTAGTATGCACTTCATACCTAAACTGGCCTGTAGTAACCTCGTGAGTTTGCTGTTGCGGTACGGAATGTGCACTGAGGAGTTTGGTATGGCTGTGGGTGACCACTGGTGGTGGGGAATTCGATCCCGCCGAATCAAGGCCGAGATGCATTGCGCCAATGTGGACAAGCTCTGATTGATAAACTTGAGCTCCTAAGGGGTTGTGTAAATACTATTTTGCTTTCATGATCATTGCTGCGTTTGCACACGTATGTAGTACCTTCATGTCTTGGCTAGTGTGGTGGCGAGGTGTGGAGATATGCTTTTTGCACTTTTCTGACCCGGCCAAGTCGACGAGGTTCATGGTGGCTGTGGTCCCGTCTGTCGTGTCCACGTGGAGCTGCAGGATGGTGTGACTTCGACTGCTGCGTTCGTTCATGTTGGTCGCACGACTCGCGCGGGTCTGCGCCCCAGTCCACAGAATGTCCGTTAACGTTTGTAAAGAATGTAGGGGGAGCACGCGCAAGTCGGGTAGAAACACGCCATGCACCGCGTCTTCCCGTAAATCCAAAGGGACCTTATCGCCCGATTCGTTTGCATCGCCTTGGGTCAAGTCGTACACTTTTTCATTGTACAATTCCAAGTACGAACACGTGACGGGGCCGCGCCTCGACGCCAGCAGGGCGTCTGCCACCAAATACATGAGCCCCCTACTCCGTCCGTACAATAATAGTTCAAATCAAAGGCAAACTCGTTGGATATAAAATACATATATATACCGCTGCGTGGGCTCGTCGTCGGCCAGCCAGTATGCGTCGTTGGTATTGGCCTTGTCGACGCCAGCGCAGAGTCCCCAGAGGTCCCGCCCCAGCATTGTAAACGTCTTCCCGGTGCCCGTTTGACCATACGCGAGTACCGTGGCGTGGGTGCCCTCTAAAACCGACAGGACCAGCGGGGCCAAGAACGCGTCGAACACGGCTTGGTTCGAATCGTGGGGGGTGAATACATGGTCGAACTTGTAGGATACGGGGCGCCTGGCGCGGGGCGTGGTCAGTAGCTGCACGCGGTGGCTCGACGTCGCCAGCACGGCTTCGGCTTCGTGCGACTCGGACGTGAGACGGGGACGCAACCGGACGGCCACCTGCATGCGCGTGGGCAGCATCATTCATTCTGCTGGCGGCAGTTACAACAAAGGCGTTTCACTCACACCCACGCTTGCCAATAGTAGTATTGGGTGATGGCGTTTTTATCGAACCAGCACTTGTACGGGGTTGAGACGAGGTACGAAGGAACATGGACAGTTGCGGATTTACAGTACTGTATCTACTCGACCTTGGTAAGGGACTCAACTTTCTTTGCTCTTGGTCGAATTCAGGGTTAATCAGCTGAATCACCTGCAGAACCAGACTCAGTTGCACTTGTTTGAGTTGGACGTCAGTGGAACTTGTCTGATACCACGTAGGTGCACGGTTTTGAAGATAACACAAGGATACATCAACCGACTTGAAGGGCACATAATTGACTGAGTCGATAGATAACGGTACATCATGGGGGATGGGGTCGTGGTGCTCACTAGGAGTAGAGGGAGCGACGACATACTAAGAGGCTGGCCTACAGCACTTCGATGAGAATGCAGCCAGCCTTGGATCTAGACCTGAGCCAGTACTCTATCGATGTCGTCATTGCCACGTTTTTGTCTGAGATTAAACACACCAATACTCTTTTGTACCAAGTTCAAGTAGAAAAAACCCACGACGTTTAATTCAATCGCTTATTAAACGCGCGTCAACCAAGCCTGTAAACGTACGAGTGACGAAAGTGCATCCACTTACGAAGTAGCGCACACCACTGTCGTCATCGGTTTTGCAGTTATCACCATGCACAGGCAGTCGCGACCGTTTCAAATGTAAGCAGAACCAGTGGAATGTTCCCGTCGAACCACCAACCCCAGAACCATCAACCTTAGGACAATCGTCGGCCAAAAATCGTTCAATCGATCCTCCTCCGTTTTGGTGAAACTTTTGAGGTTTTGATCGTCATCTTTATGTTCAAAATCCTAGCCCTGACGGATTGACAATACCGTAGGTGCGCAATTCAATCCTGAATACAATGTACTCCGAGTACTACAGTAATATGTAACGTGTGCCCAAAGTGTTGTTTTTATCGCAAGTTTGAGCATGCACTGGACGATTGAGAATAAATCTTCGATTATAATATAGCCAATCATCGCACATCTTCGATACTTCAACAACTGGAATCGTTACATCTGTGACAGTCGCTTGTTGATTGGATGTTTATAGAACGAGAAGAACCCACAATACAGTACCGCAAGATTTTTGGGGATGTCTCTGCACAAAAGTGAGAATACAGTACAGTACACGTCAGGTGACCTGTTTCTAGTGTTCTTGGTACTGACTGGTACATTCTAACCTCATTTCGTTGCTTTGGCTCAACCCGCTCGTACTCTTACGAGCATTCGTCGGATAGAATTGAGCACATCATTTCAAAACTACCAATGTGATCAATACGAAGTACAAGCAAAGTTCTAACGCAATTACATCGCTTGACATCGCATGAGGGAAAAGGTTGATGCACCTCATACTGTACCAGTAATGATAACTGACTTTGAACACATGCTTTCACGGCTAAAAAGTGCGGATGCACCATGCACTTGTCACGATTTTGATGGCCAGCCTCATATTATAATGACCAAGAAATGTACTATTAATCGTATTATTGGTGTCATAATTTTATTATAGTTTCAGGTGAGATTTGTCATCCTACATTGAAATTTACTGTTAATACCAATATTGGAACAGTGAACAACAGTAGGGAAAGGGGTATTTCACGAATCGACTGGCGTGTCAAGTGATTAAACTCAGGTGGCTAACGTATACTTCGAAGTAGTGCACAATGAGTACTGTACGGGGGAAGTTCCGTGACGGTAGGCAAATATGTAAAATCACTAGCTCCCGCATAGAAACCTTGGAATTCTGATTTCAAGGCGCGAACCATACAGTATCGATGCCACGGAACCTTCCTTCTCGTACTTTGGTTTGAGAAGCGTCCCTGATCTGACCAAGTAGATAGACGAGCCATGCCGCTCAAGATGTATGCATGCATCCTCTGGCAATCCAGAATCAACTTACTGACGTGGGACGTTGGCAAGTTTGTCTGGTTATCTTGACATGTCCCCTACTTTTGGACTCTGGCCGTTTGTTGGCATTCATTTTTTCGGATATAAAGCCGAAATTCGATGCAATCAGGTCGAATTCATGTCGCCGAGCCGAAATTAAAACCGGCGCTTGGTCGTTGTCGCGAGGTTGTAGCATCCGATTGATGCGTTGGACAGCCAAGGTCGTTCGTTGTCCGGCTCAAGCGGTCACTTTCCAACTTGCTCGCAACCGAATGCAACATCATCCTTCATCACCCATGGCGTGGCAGCAGCAGGAGCAACCGCCGTCGTGTGTTCGAGGCCTTTGTCGGTACAAAACGGGCAAGTGCACCAACGAGCGCGCGATCAAGACCAACGGCCACCCACACAACTTGTGCAACGTGCATCGCATCAAGCAAAATCTAAACCAGCGCAAAATGGATTCCAAGGTGCGCCGCAAGAAAAGCCGCAACATGGCCACCACGTCGTCGTCGTCGTCATCGCCACGTCGACCCCTGCCCGACCCCTTCACCCCTCAAAGCCGCTACGCAATTGAACAATCGCCTCTGGGCAATGCAATGTCGTCGACGTTGATGCGTCAACCGCTGGTGCAGTACACGCAGCCGCGTCACCACCACGTTCACGATCAAAAAACGCCTCCTGGTAGCTTCTTGCATCACCACTCGACGTCCCCCGCCCCTTCCACGTGGCACACCGACCATGCCAACGACGACAATATGATCACAGTGCCCACGCCCCTCTACCTCAAAGGCCAAGAAAGGGAAGCCTTCCGGTCTCGAGTTCTTCAGAAACTACTTCACATCTTATCGGAAGAAGCACAGCCCACGCAGAAGTGCCCGCCGCAAGGTGGTTACCACCACTCGTTCTCGTCGTACTCACAAGACCACCTCTCTCCAACGTACCAGCAGCATCCGCACCATGAGCTACCGTATCGCCGTGACTTGGTGGAACACCAACACTACCACGACCAGCCACAAGCAAGAAGCCCGTCGCCTCCGTATTTCCAGCGAGACCACAACCCTTGGATGCAGCAAACGGGTGGCCTAAAAGTCCATACCAGTCCCTTTGGAGGTCGATACACGAGTATGCTTCCTCCCCTGTCGACACTGCACGCTACCCCTGGGGACTTCTAGATCGTATACATATTGCATTGACGTTCTCATGAACAAATAATAATAAAAAATCTATTTCAAATTGTAAGAGCATCTCCAACGCATCCCCAAATAAATATCCATGTCCCTATCCCCAAAACGTGTTACAACAGTGGTACCATCAAAGTTACGGATAATTTGTGGATGTATCCGGGTGTTTTGTCCCCATTCTGAAGATTTTGGGGACATCCGGCTAATTGGGGACAAATCCGCCCGGATAAGCCCTAATTATCCGTACTGTAACAAGTACTAGTAGTACAGTAACGGTAAGTACTTACAACCGAAGTGTTGAGTTAAAGAGTTGGGATAGGGGCCGCCAGCGATGACGATGCTCTTCAACCATTTCCTTCAACAGCCACGACGACAATCCAAAAGGAGCTAAATACTAGTACATTTATTCTCTCGTGCTGTGTTGTGGTTGTCTACTTGCTCGATTGAAGCGAACGTTTGTACCATGAAGTAAGTAGAATGTACTATACCAATACCGATCGATATGTACTCGGTGTATGCAGTGTCGAAAGTGGACAACCACACTTTAGGGTGCGACTGGTAACCTGAACATGTTTAGTACTACGGTAGTACTATTGATAGTAGTACAGTACAAGATTCTGGCTCAAAACGCCATTTTGAGGCGGAATTCCATGAATCTGATGAAACTTGAAACATGTCTAGCGTGAAGACATGTTTCAATCATGATCAGATTTATTCGAAGTGGGATTATTCCACAAGGAAGTCCCGATTGTTAAGAACAAGGTGGACGATCTACTACCTCCATGCTGAAAATTGCATGTTTGGTTCAATAACTGGATGTCCCATTTTTCCCAGAAATTGGAATACTGTACTGTAATTGTACAGTACTTCCAAGACCTAGTATTGTAAATTCGCTAAAACCTTCCAAAAATCGCATGGTTTGTCTAATCAATATCACGCTAGAGCTCTGATTGGTTGAATATACTTGTCCTTTCTGTAAGAGCCACTCAAAATTGGATTAGCCAATAGCGCCCATTCGTGATCCCATTCGGCGGTGAGATTGCATTAGTACTACGTAGTACTAGTAGTACTGTACAAGTTAGTACTCCAGGAGTTTCTATGCATATACTATTAATACACACTAGTATATGTAGTACTTACTATGTAGTATTAAATAAAAGGGTGTGTGTCTGGCTGGTACTACGGTAGTAACATTTTCAAGTAGAATCGAATCTCACCACAGTACAGTATTCAAATTTCTGGGAAAAAATGGGACATCCAGTTATTGAACCAAACATGCAATTTTCAACATGGAGGTAGTAGATGGTCCACCTTGTTCTTAACAATCGGGACTTCCTTGCGGAATAATCCCACCTGGAATACATCTGATCATGATTGAAACATGTATTCACGCTGGACATGTTTCACGTTTCATCAGATTCATGGTTGATTGAGTTTGGATTACAGTATGATTTGTTTTCAAGATATTCCTCCGCGAGGGCCGATACTACAGTGCAGTACCACATGTTGTGGAACCGCTTCGCCAATTGTTTCGCGGTGTGTCATCTTCGGTTTTTACTTTGCTCAACGTTTCATTCCTCGTGGTTCGACCGAGCTGCTTCGAAGTTCGGTCCGTCGTCTTCGTACGCAGCCCTTGTTATCCGGATTCCCCAGGGGAGGGAAAGGTAACGTTACATGGAATTCCGCCTCAAAATGGTGTTTTGGGCCAGAATCTTGTACTGTACTAACGTTAACGTTACCTCTGCTACTACTGTAGTACTTACTACCTCTGTCTGAAAGTAGTTGCAACATTTGAGATAACGTTACCGTAGTTGAATTCCGAAAATGGTTGCAACAAATTTTGCGAGTAATTATTCACCTGTAACATGTTGAATAGTATTGCAACGATTGCAATTTGGTACAAATTGCTCATATGACTGTTGTCCTCCAAATCTAAAGCAATCACACATGGGTGCAGATAATGTAAAAATACCGGACAAAATGTACGATAATACGGATAAACCGGATAAGAGTGGAACCCAATTCCGAATAGAATCGTTACATCCAAAATATAAAGGATAAAGTATCAAACTTGGCGGCACTCCGGATAAATACGTTACATCGTGGATAAAATAATAAACTTGGATTCTTGATTCACTATCTTTCGATTGGGGATACTCTGGGACGGAATTAGTTTATTCATACTGGTATGCACCTTGAACTCCTCTATCAAAGCATACCTCTAGTTTTCGATATTTTGATAATCTTGATACTCATTATTAAATTATTCTGAATGTTGCATCTGATTGGCCTAAAACTTAGTGGAGCGTTGAGGCGATTCTGATCATATTTTTTGTTGAATTATTTGATCACATTCGAACTTGCTACGACTCCATGTCTGCTCGCCATACAAATTCCAAATCAAATTTGACAAACAACAAGCGCTTCAGAAAGTAAGCACAAATGGGGCACATTGCTGTCGACGATGCCTTGCTTGTTCAAGCGGCAACTGAGGGTGGTTGGAACATCCAGCAAATGTGCTAACCAGGTCTAGACCGTTCAGGTCCGGCGACTGAGGACCTGAACGTTCTACCTAGACCTGGTTGGCACAATAGAGTTGAAGAAGCCCAGGTCTAGAACGTTCTAGACCTGGGCTTCTTCAACTCTATTTAGTCACTGCAGCAGCAAATGTAATGTCGGTCCATGGAGGACCTGTCAAGGAATCGTTCAAGTGTCTGCCATCATTGACTTTGGAGAAGACGTTTCGAACCTGGCGACGGGTAATGCATGCGATTGTTGGGGTCAATGGCGAGAACAGCTACAAGATCCCTCGGAGCAATAATGTGGCTGAGGATGACGTGATTGCATTGGAATTGATGGATACGCGCCTGTGAGCGGCTGATGCAGGTCATAAACTTTTGAAATACAGATTCGTTTTACTTGGTTTTTGTATTGCATTGAATGTTGTGTGCCTGCACTTTATACCTACTATTAATAGTACCAGAGGTCGTACTACTATTAGTACATACTATTCAAAAACCTCCGCCTTTGTGACGCTCTCTTCTCCCTTTTTTTTTCCCAATATGAGACCACTAACTACTATTACTACTAGTACTAGTATTGGCTTGTACTACTACTACTTGTACTATTTGTGTATTTTATGGATACTAAATCCGACACACGTACGAGTTGGACTGCGTGACGTAGCGCACCCAGCGCTTGTACTGGTAGTTGGGGTGCCGCGCGTGGTCGGGGATGCGGAGGTACCGCACTTGAAGCGTCGACACGTTGTACATGGGGATTTCAAAGTTCATCGAGACAGGTCCAATCTCGCGGCGGACGTGGGGGCTCGGCGCGCTCAGCGTGATCTTGGCTCGAAGTGTCATCTCTGCGCCGCCAGGGAATCGCTTGATGGCCCAGCGCACCTGGTGTTCACTTTGGCGGAATTCGGCCAGCTGGTTTCCCGAGGCTTTTTTGCCCACGTCGTCGCATGAGACAGCGATTGTGTTTTGGGGAACTGGGAATCGAACGATCACGTTGGCGCCGTAGTTGTTGTCTGGCATGTCGGCGCGGATCTTGACGGTGACTTCAATCTTGGTCGGCGAGATTTCGTCGACGACAGGGAAGACGCGGAATGGCGCGCGGAAGTCACGGCCTGTGAGGCGGTAGTTGATGACCGTGAACTCGCCGTCCGGGGGCGTGAACACAAGCACGCGGTCACGCTCAAACTCGTCCAGCTGGACGCACTCGTGGAAGTTGGCGTCGTCCAGCACGACTTGGCCGTAGCCCGAGTGGTTGATGGAAGCATTTCCGCCCACGATCAAGTCTTCGTTGAGGGCGAGGCGCAGCTCGGGGTTGCCAGCGAGGTACGACTTCATTTGGATGCGCCCTTCCACGGAGGAGTTCAGGATCGCTCCACTGGACGAGAACACGATGTTGAGGCGCTCGAGGATGTCGCAAAATAGTTCGTTCACTTGCTTGTCCTTGCTGGACGCGCCCGCCTTGGCGTTGGCGACTGGTTTGTGCGCCGACACGGCCGCTTTCACGTTCGATTTGAACATCGAGTTGTTCGCGGCCTTGGCCATGGCCGCTTCGCCCACGAGGATGGCTTCGTTGTGGACATGCGCTTTCAGCCCTTCGGTGCTCGTGTCCTGGGCATACCCGTAGTCCAACGTCTCGTCTAGCAACTCGAGGCACAGCGTAAAGTTCTTGCGCAGCGTTTCCTCGGTCAAGACGCCGCAGTAGTCCTTGAACACACGACACAGCCGCGTCAACAACTCGAGGATGTAACTCGGCGAGATGTTGAACCGGGTCGTGGCCACAAAGTACAGCGCGTTCTTTTTCACGAACAAGTAGTTGACCCCGTCGACGTGGAACGACGGCGGCGCCGCGTGACCCTTGTCCCAGAACTTGACCTTCCGGAAGAACACTTCCGAGCTGTCACTAGGGACGTCGCCGCGGTAGTCGCTGAAGAGGATCGAGTCCCCGCGGCTGCTGAGGATGTAGAACTGCGAGATCGACATCACAGTGTCGGCGGCGACTGCAGACGACAATTGTGATGTGAGGGGTGATGGTTTTTCATTATGTTACAGTATACCATACACATTGCTATACAAGTATAGTGCATGTATACATACACTCGTCATGATATGTGGATTCAGGAATTCGTCTCTTAGAAACTTGCGCTGAACCATCTCTGGGAGCATCAGAAATCGACACAAAGCCCAGGATCATCTCCAGTGTGCAATCATTGGACTGGTAAGGACACACACACTCCCCTTGACACAAGAAGCAGTGAAAGCACAGGAAATCCCCCTCCTTTTCCTGCTGCATGCCAATCGCATTTCCACCTGTTCTGTGTCGACATTGTCATGTACCTACTCACGATACTGTAGTCTATTGGTGTCTCGGCCGGCGAATGCCGTCACGTATAAGCCTGCATCACGTATACCTTCCCTATAACTATCCTTGAGCTTGCAGGTCATGTACCTCCTGAAGCTATCCCTGAGATTCATCTCGGATCCTCCAATGGCGGAAACGGTTACGAGTCTGTAACTGTCCAGAGTCACACTAATTTAACGTGTTGGCCTAGAAATAGTATGTGTAACATGACAAGATATTGATTTTATCAGCATGTGTGTCGGCGATGCCGCAGACGTGATGTCCATCACAACGGATGCGGTGGCGACGCTGTACACGAATCCAGCTGCTACCTTGCACCCTTGTCTGCAGGTCATCCACGTCAAGGAGATCCAAGAGGGTGTGTCGTCTCCGCACTGCGTGGTGGTGCTGTCGGACGGCGCGTATTGCATCTCGGGTCTCGTGGAGCCAGGAGTCTTGATGGTGTGCTTCGATCTACACATTTCATCTTTGATTCGTCTTTGTGATAATATGTAGGCAGAGGGATCCTGCAACCGCATCATGCACGCATGTTGCCTCGTCCAACTGGTGTCGTACACTCCGAAATTCGTGGCCGGAAACCTGTATCCCCCTCCATCTTCCTTCATCTTCCTCCTAACCTCCATCTTGTAGCATTATCGTCGTGGATCGTCTCGTGCATGTGGCTTGTGCATCCACTCGCATTGGTCTAGCGCACCCTACATTTTTCAACGTCGCACCATCGTCCATGTCCGCGCTCCTCCAAGCGCAGTTGGACCTCCTGCAGTTCAAACAGCATCAACAAGACTCGTTCCTCGCGTCCGTCCGGCAGAATGCGCGCGCAGCCGCGGACATGATCACGCTCAACGTCGGTGGCCAGCGTTTTCAGACCGCCGCCACGAACCTCCTACGACACTCTCCATCGTATTTCACCATGATGCTGTCCAATGACTCGCCGCCGCCGCCTCTGCGTAAGACGGCAATCAATTACATATACGCGGAATTGACTACTACTACTACGTAGTAGTATTTCTAAGAGCGTGTCATGGACATTTCGTATGATATTTGTTGCCAATATATGCACAGAATTGACATTTTCTTCGCTATTTCCATTTAGATTTTGGTGAATTCCCTAAATTGTTCGTTTCTATAGCAGCATTTTTTGTGTGCAATGTATGTAAGATTGACATTTCATTCGATATATTTGGTCAAATACGTTCGTTTTGATGGTAACAGCAACATCAAAAGTGATATTTTTGCATGTCTAGACGAATACTTTATCGACGTGGACCCAATTCATTTTGACCGGGTGATGGCGCACCTCCGCACTGGCGACGCGCTGTCGTATGGCGGTCTGTCGCTGTGGGAAACCCTCCAGCTGCGAAAGACCGTGCGGTACTTGGGCCTGGAACTGCACTGCACGACCACGACCGAGTTTATGGAGCACATGACATCCCTCAAGGCGCCGTCGCCGTCGTCGGCAGCATGACTATATCGACGTCCTTGTTGGAGTAGTGTATATATATTCGAAAGGTATGCAGGTCGCGATGAAACCTTTCGTGTGTCATATGTTGCTCCAGTGGCTACGCCAGTTGCTAAGCATTCATGCATTATGCACAACTTCCAACCCCATATATCCAAATTTGGACTAGAGAGAGAGTGATTTTGCCAAATTTATTCGAATCTATTTTATCCCATTTAAGCTTGTATAAACTATAGTATACACAGATTAGTATATACATGGTTTTGCCCAATGCGGAGGGACAGCGTCGAGTCAAACGTTTGGATTGGCAGAAATTCACCAGAACGTGATTTCATTGGCTTAGGCGGTCTCTTAAGACTTATCGATTCTGCCGAGGGTTTTTCGAATCGATTTGACAATATCAGCATATAACTCGGTGCATGCGATACAGTTACATATGGCATTTAATTTATATTAACGATAGCTGAAAGCACACCTATGTCCTAAAGTTGTCCTGCAGCATTGGTACATTTCGGTGGCGACGGCACCAACGTCAATGTGGCGCCGTGGTAGTACATGCTCACGACAGGAAACAGCAGCAGGTCCTGTTGCCCTTCGTCGTGACCCAGCTCAAACGCGACGCCTAGCTCTTGATCGTTCTTTTCGAAATGAATCTGCCTGTGACATCGGCGAACGGTGACAACGTCGCCTGTCTTGAAGCCGGTGGCATACGGTTTGCCGGTCGTGCCATCTTGGCCGAAGACCGACCCGTGGCGCAGCTCCACGTAGTACCCACATCGGTCCGGATTGTACGAGTACACGCCAAAGCCCTTGGACGGGGCCAACCCCACAAAGATCTTGCCGAGAACGTTGCCCGTGGCTGGAAATTCGTCGAGGCGTAGTGAAAACACATCGACGGGCGTCGTGCCCACGACCGCATTCGACACGCTTCGCCCCGCGCCCGCCGCCTTTTGAACGGTCCGTTGGTCGTGAAGCAGCACCAGCGACGACGAACATGCGTGAGGGTTCCATTGGATCAATGGTGGGGTTGGTTTGGACATGGCGAGGTCGCGAGGCGTGAGGATGTTGAGGTAGTCCAACGTCGATCGAAGCTGACGACACTCCCATGCAGACAGCCCGTCAAACGACAGCTCGCTCGTCCGCAGGTACGTCATGACACGATCGAAATGTGTCGGATCCAGGTCCAAAAAGTACGAGTTCGCTGGCCCGTCCGGCTGCCAGCACCCCGCCCCAAGCATCGCATGAAAGTACGTGCCTTCGACGCGCAATAGCGTTTGCTTGGAGGTCTTGAACACGACGCCGCCTACGTCCAACGTGATGGCGTCGGCGGCAGCGACCGTATTGCGCTGAATGCGGAGCTGAAGCTCTCGCCACGCCTGCTCCTTGCGCTCCAAGACATCGAGCTGATCTTTTATGGCTTGCGATGTCTCCATAAAGTCGGCAGAGAACAGCTTCAGCATGTCCAGTGATCCAGAGAGCGACCGCTGCACCGTTTCCTTGCGTAGTGTTGTCATTTTCGATGAAGATCGCAAAATGCCATACCTGTTGCAACTGTTACTCCAGGTCTCCAGCACTTGATGTTGAACCCGTGGGTCGCGATATTATTTATGGCAGAAATACTGTGAATGTTAATGTTTCCTGGTTTCTGATGGTACATTTGTACGCCGTGTGATTTCATTCGCTAAATATACTGTATAAATTGATTACTTGTGGAATATTATACTGATGCATATCGCAGCAGAATGACATTTCAGCAACGTGGCAGTGTCTGCGTAAGTACTTGGATTTTCCTCGAACGCATTACGCCAGTTACTCGTACGACAGAATGGTAAGAAGCACAGCTATTCTAGGTGTCAGTTTAAGCCTCAGTTTGACTGCTACTGGAGCTTAGTCCAACCAAAGTTAGCACAGTACTAGTACCAATATGTTGTCCCAACGCTGGATTGAACGCTGAGATGTCCAACAAGGTGGGCTTGCTTTACGTAATTGTCAGATTGGTCGAGTCAGAAATCTATTTTTCCCTCATCATGTGCAGTGTTTGAAACTTGAAGTAGTTTCTCAGCATCTGATTGGTTGCCTCATGGACCAATCACAGGCCTATATTCAAATGGAAAGGTGAAGTTGTATCACAATGTCTGATTGGTTGCGTGATGGGCCAATCACAGGCATATCTTCCATAGTAATGAAATCTCCCGACCAAGCAGCGGCACTCATCCAGGCTCGATGGAAGGGCTGCCAGTGCCGCGTCCGGCAGCGCCGCTACATTGTACGATGATGCATGTGGCACTTATCGATGCAACCAGCGCGTTACGATGGGATATATGTTTGATTGCTAGATTTCAATCATAAAGCTGCAAGCGCGTCAGCGAGGTCGGGCTGTGCGGCGGGAGTACGTGCCCTTCCGCGAGTTTCGACGGGAACAGGTAATCGCTGACGCGTTCGTTCATGTCCAAAACGACTATATTGATATGGGCTTTATGTGCCGGATACACTCTAGCGTGCATTTGAAGTCGAGAGCAAGGCGAGACGGGCGCGCATATGGCACCACCAGCAGCAGCTCCAATACATGGAGTCCATCTCCCCCGTACAATACGATCGCCTCGTGGCGCTGCAGAAGCGGCGCAGCGCACGGCTCATACAGCGGCGATGGAAGGAGTACACGTTGTCCACCAACTACCAGCGCAACTTCCACCACCACCACGACTGGGACACCGACGAAGATGATACCAACGATCTTAACCAGTCGTCCGAGTCCGCGCCATCCTCATTTTCACCTTCGAAAGACGTCGACGCCATGACGTTCTTAGCCAAGAAACAAGAGATCCACCAACGAATTCGGGACGCAGTCCGGCAGTTCAGTGTGAAACATCCATGGAAAATCCCTTCCACTGGCTCCACCAAAGCAGACGGCGACGCCGCCAGGCGTGCCACGTATGAAAAACTCCAGCGTGAAACGGCAAATTGGACCGCCAGGTTCAACGAGCATTGCACCACGTTGCGCCAACCCAAGCGCGCCTCTGGTTCGTACAGACGGCACACGATACTGGCTCTCTGACGTGGCAGCACTAGACGCCAGTGTTTTCGCCACGTTGGCGCGATGTGACCACAGATTGCGCACGCTTGTGGCCCCGACTCTGCTATCATCGCTATCCAATGTATGAGTTTAGATTGAATGGGGTGGCCATCACCTCGTCTTCTAGGACACTCCTTCCATAGACGGAGCACCACCAAAACCAAGTATTCCGCGATTGCCGACAGACCCGACGAGGCGCGACGCAGCTGTGGCCACTCATCGATCCGTGATCCAGTCCATTGATTTGGCGTCGAAAGCGGCGTGGAATATGCCAGTCGCAGGCCATGTCTATGACATGCGTCAGATCGAGTATACGACATAGGTTGAATTACACCAAACACACTCAAAGTTTCAATGATTAGACTTCCACCACCTTGGGCCATCGAAGGCCAAGACAAGATCTGGACGTGGCCCCATTCGTTTCGAGTGGACGTGACGACGACTTCTTCCCCCCCTCCTCGTCAGTCTGTGACTGATGCCAACGCTGCAGTCAGTGATGATTCTTGTGCAGACGACGACCCCATTCGCCAGTTTATAACACGATCCACAACTCCTCATGTGAAGTCAGGAAGCAACGGCACGCTTTCAACCAACCCTTCTCCCAGTTTGGACAAACACGAGCATGCCTTGGATCCTGCGATGTCGTCGCATCTATGGCTACACTACGCCGAAGCCATGTCCACTCCGTCAGCGGCCATGCTGGCCAATGTCACCAGCGTCATGACAACACATCCAGCTTTGTTGGCATATCAACAGCCATCGCTCAAGGCAACGGACGATGTGTTTGGGCTGACCTTTGACGCGATCGTCCGGTCTCAGACAGCACACCTCGTCGCCGACATCACGAGCCAGATCACGTTCAACACACAGCTGCGAAGTGTGCAGGACCACACGAAGAAAGCCACGTCGATGGGAGGGGGTGACGAAGATGTTAGTGACGTGGCATTCGCTGGGGGCTTGGTGGATTACGGTGGATTGCGCCGGCATCACATGGCGACTCGGATTCAACGGCGTGTGCGGGGCAACAAGGGACGTGCTGAGGCACAAGAGGTACTGTAGTAGGGCGGCTGAGGACGCCAATAGTGTTTTGTGGAATGGAGATTGTCGTTCGGGGGGGGGCTAGAAAAAGTATTGAATTGTGGGGGGACTCATGACGAGCGTGTTTTCGCATATAGATTCGAGCCACGTACTTTGTGCAAGTTAAAGGGCGCGCCGTACGCAAGGGACTGTGCGAAGAATGCGGCGACGTGCGCGCCGTGCTAAAGTGCGACGAGTGCGAAGAGACGACACATTTCTGTCCCCAGTGCTGGGTCCACGTCCATAGCACAAGGCGCCGCAAAGCACATGTTCCGTCACCACTTGTGATTGGAGAATCGACTGGCCAATCGACGACGGGGCAGCACAAGGCTAGGGGTGCATCGGCGGGGGTGGGGGGCTCGGGGGGGCTTTCGTCATCGAAACCATCACCCCCACAAGGACATATCAACTCGGATATGGAAGACATGATGGGGAAAATGGCCATGCAACCGCCACGAGTCTATGTCTTGCCAGAGTCCAATACCTTCCAACCGACAACAGAGATGCCAGGCAGGATCAGGAGAAACCAACGACCGATAAAACCCCCCGAAAGAAGCAACTCGACGGTGGTCGTGGCTGCCGATGCCATGCTGCTTGGTCTGGTGCAGCAAGTTGCACACGAACAGGAATCGGCAGGTCAATAACCCCCGCAACTTCAGAAACAACCGTGTAAGAAAGAGTACTCAATGATAACCTATGCGACTTTATCCTGCCGTTGCCCATATTGTGTGTCAACCGGAAAAAAGCGATATATACCGCGAATAGTAATATCGTTCCGGTAGCCAACACGTTAATCACATAGCTACTTACTTATGCATGGCCGTACCAATCCCGTGCTGATCGTAAACAATTTTGAAACGGGAAATAGTTTGAAATAATATTGTGAAAACTCTATGCTAATAATTATCAATTATATCACTGTCTACAAATAAAGAGATCTAGTAATAATGTACAAAATATAATTAAAATGCTCCATTGACTTTTTTGTGTAGTATTTATTATATATATGAATGAATAGATGGATAGCTAGCTCCCAACTGAAAATCACGTATGGGTTCTATGGCGTCGCATGGCGACCGTCCAAATCGCACTTGTTGTATTGGTCCTACGCTCACCCCAATACATTAATTTATAATATTTATATATATATATATATATATATATATATATATATATATATATATCACTCAAGTGTAGCACTTACATTCACGGACGCTTTGTCGGGGCTAGGGGATGGCGTGTCGTGTTTCCCTCGCAACGGTGACTACATATGCATGGATATGAGTTGTTGATATCGGGATTGAAATAGAGTTTACGGCGGTGAATTTGGCCAAGTCGGTTTTGAACGCGTTGAAGTACTCGTCAAACGATTCAGTCTTGATGGGTTTGGCCGACGATGACGTGGCAGGTTCCTGGGGTAGGTACGACGTCGGGGGCAATGTCAGGGCTTCGCGGGACGCTATCGCATTGAGCGAGTCTCGAATTTCTTTCATTTTCCGATCAAACTCGGCAAACATGCTGCGCCCTCCAGATGGCGGCGGCACGACTTTTGTAGGAATATACGATACTGGCGCGGCTACCGTAATGGACATGTCAACATGGACATATCCAGGCTCCTCCTACACGCACCTTCGTCGTGGATGGACGTGTCCGTCGATAGCAATCGAGCGCGATGGTAGCTCAAGCCATCATCATCTTTGGGTTTACGTGACAACGACGACTCGTCAGAGAAGCGACCGCTGGGGTTGTCACGGGGAGCAGAACCAAAGGACGTGGTGTATTCGTTGTGGTTTGTGTCCATGTCGAGGCCATTCTTGCTCTTGTAGCTCTTGGAAGAACGAGAAGGCGACTACGGATATATATATTTCTTTCAAGACTCCCTTTGGAAGCCAAGGTGGTTGAGATGTTGTATACCTGCGACGGTGTTGTTGTCGTCGGGGCTTCATAAGGATTCCGGAGAACATCGGGCATGTCTACGCAAGCTGGACGAGGCACGCTGTAGCGATCTGTTGCGATGGTGCGGTCACTTTGACTTGGATCATTACATGCATGCTCAGCGGTGTCTGCCTTGATGACGTGGCGACCGGTGGTGCCGCCGCTATCATACGATGGACTTGACGTGTAATGCGCCGAAGTTTCGACATGACTCAGTTGTTGCAGCCGGTCACGAGCCGCTGTCAACGTCCGAACCATGTGATCCATGGCCTTGACCGCCCGGTCAGCCACTTCAACGTTGTAGCGCAGTGGCGACTACGCCGTTAGTTCAGCAGACATACTGTATCCAATGACTACGTAGTAGGATGATCTGAGTACCGCCGACAAATCAAAGAGCACGCTGTGTTGCGCCCTCGTGTCATCGATGGAGGCAAATGCTTGCTCAACGAGAAGATGTAGATCTATGAATAGGAACTTGTTAGGGGGCGAGACCAACGCACAGGACAAACCTTGAGTAGTACTTCCAATCATGGTCTTGTGCGATAGTGGTGGTGGTGCAGACTCTGTCGTCAAGTAGGAGCGAGGGGTGGCTGCTGTGTAGTCGTTGTACTCCTTCATTGGCGAAGCATACGGTGTCGACGTTGTGCTAGACGTGCCAGCGTACGAGTGCGGTAATGGAGGTGGTTGTCGATAACGCGATGTTTGGTGCTGCTCGGAAGAGGCTGTCATTCCTTTAGACGACGGCTGGCTGTCAAACTCGACTTGTTTGCTTGTGCTGGGACGCCGGACGGAGTTGTACTCCGAGTACATGTCGGATTGTCCATGCTGCGGCTCTTGGAGTTTGGACGATGTCCGATGATGGTTCGTGCCGGTCTTATACTCGGCGTACGCGTCATGTCGTCCAAGCGGTTCAGAAGACGGTGGATTTGGTGGCGTTCGGTGGCTCGCACGAGATGGAAACATGGGCGGGTCCGCCAACACCTTGGAGGTCGAGGTCGGCGGCGACACCGAGCGCAACTTCTCCTCATACGACTCCGTTTGAAATCCACGTGGTGCCAGACGTGTGCGCCCTGTCATCGCGTACGTTGTCGATGGCATCGGAGCAGCCGAATATCCTGTGGACGAGGTGTATGGTTCCTCGCGTGTTGGCGCTATTGGCGCTGCGGACGGTTCATACGGACGGTAAGGCCCGCGCGAGTCTCCAGCGTAGGATGGCGGCGCCCCCGTCTTCGGTTTTGACGAAGAAGCGAATCGCTCGTCCATGCTGTCCTTGTCCGTCCATTCCATCGAGCGTGGCATCGGTCGGCGGGCGTCCATAGTGGATGGAAATATCGAAGGACGCCGTGTCCTTTCGAGCAGTTAAGATCGGAATGAATTGATTGGCTGAAATTAGACTTCTTCAACAAATCACATCTGGGACTGAGAAATAGGTTGATATGGTTCGTCGATTTATATCGAATGAAAAGTAATTAGGCTTGTAGGAATCGATTGGATTGGTGGATGTAATTAATTTTCGACGAATCAGATGTAATCTAAAGCGGAAACGGTTGGTGTTGGCCATCGTTTTCCATTTTGACAGTCCGTCGTCGGCGAAGATGCGGCAGTTCAAGTACCATGAGAAGAAGCTTCTCAAGAAGGTTGACTTGCTGGAATGGCGCAATGAGAACAACTTGCATGAGATCAAGGTCATCCGCCGCTACCGACTGCCGGACCGCGAGCAGTATCACAAGTACAACAAGCTCGTCGGCGACATCGGTCGCGTCGTGGCACGGCTGAAGAAGCGTCCGTCCAACGACCCATTTCGCATCAAAACGACCGAGAAGCTGCTCGAAAAGCTGTACCAGATGGGCATCATCAACGGCACGAAGAGTCTGTTGAAGGCCGAAGAGCTGAACGTGAGCTCGTTCTGCCGCCGCCGGCTGCCGGTGGTGATGGTACGACTCAAGATGAGCGAAAACATCAAGGAAGCGACGACGTTCGTGGAGCAAGGCCATGTCCGCGTCGGGCCCAACACCGTGACGGACCCGAGCTTTATGATCACGCGGCCGTTTGAGGACTTTGTCACGTGGGTCGACAGCTCCAAGATCAAGCGGACAATCCTCAAGTACAACGACAAGCTCGACGACTACGACTTGCTCGGGAATTAGTATATTTTGCGATTGAACCAACACGACTCGTATATGTATGAGTTGCACGTCCTTGACAAAGATGCCCCGTAACTATTGTTGAATTCGCCAAAGTGCAATTTGCATATATCTCAAACGTATACACAAGGTCTTGGTTCTTAACCTTTAACCGAGAATAAACGATGATTGTTGAGGCATTGTAGGCAACAGACTAACAGGGATTGCTAGAGTACTACTACTAATAATGCTTTAGCAGCATATTGGTCGCACTGCGTGCATCGCCAGTACTAACTGGGTGGCTGGGGTACATGATGATACGTGGAACGTTGTACTAGTAGACCTTGTTATATTTAGTGTACTGTGGTCTTTGAGTACTAACGTTACCTACTAAAGTGTACTAGTAGCCACTATCTGCCGAACTAGTCCACCGAATGCAGTCAAAGTAATAACGAATGCCATCGACAAGAAGTAGCAACAAGATACCTCCAGGCACTCTATAGCGTTGTTGAACCATCTCAACGGTGGTTGATCCGTCTTCCTTTAGAATCCATTTATATATATATATATTGGATAGCTTTAGTGTTTACAAGGGCGGGGTTTCGAGAATTGGCAAGCTCAAGCTCGACACACACGTCGTGGCGTCGGCCGTGACCTCCATGGTCCGCGAGGGATCAACTTGGGTGAAATGCTTGGCATCGTGGCCACATATGCGGACCTGAAGCCGCGCCTTCCGCGGCGCTTGAAACGCGATCGGCAGCAGGCCAAACGTCACTTTCGTGCACGTGGCTATCGGTCGCCGATCGCGTTCGTAAAACGAATGGCGGGGCACGTCTGGGTCTGGGTTGTGCGGCACTGGGTCCAACAAGTACGTCGGCGAACTCTGACGACTCATGCTGCCGCCCGCGCCATCTTGCGGGGCGTGTGCCGCTCGACATTGGCCCTCTGTCACATACACAACATCCGAGTCTTGGGTGACAAGTGTGACATAGACAAACACATCCCCCGAGTGCGGGGCCGCCGCGGACGCGAGCCACAGCGTCAGGATTGGAGTTCCCACAATCTACAATATATATATATATATATATATATATTGGCAGAATGTTTTTCTAGTGATTCCAACGCAGGCATAGATAGTACTGTACCGTGACGGAGTGGTCGAACGGCAGAGACGTAAACACCACGTGATTCGCTGCATGCCATCCATGGTACTGCATCGGCTCGTACACGTCGATGGTCGCCTGCCAACGAGAAACGCCGCCGAGATCGCGCTGATATTCCACATTCCACGTGCATGAGCCTGGTTGAATGGCGCGGACGTCCGTGACCAAGGCGCGGTCGTTCATGGACAGGAAGAAGTCGTGTCTAGTGGCGTGGGGAGGCGGCCACGACGTTGCTACTCGCCATGTATTGTCGCCCAACGTGAAGTACTCGATGGATCCAGTAAACGTGGCTGCAGAGCAGGCTGTGACATCGTCGTTCAAATGGTGTCGGAAAAATGAAACGACTCGGTTGACGTGGTCACACGCACTGCGTTGGTGGATTTGTGTGACAGGGTTATAGAATTGCACGCCACTATGGTTCCACGGCCCAATGACCACCTACAATACATACACTAGTATGCACACAAACCCCATATTTGGTGGTTGTATGTATGACTAAACTTGCAAAATTCGCGAATCAATATGGAATCACGCCTGAGTTCTGATTGGTTGAATATACTTGTCCTTTAAGAGCCAATCAAAAACCACTTAAAAATGGATTAGCCAATAGCGTCGATGATTCGTGATGCGATTCGGCGGCGATATCATTCGATTCGACGGGGTCTGGAAATTCGTAGTATCGAATCCACAATACCTGACTACGTTGAGGGACTAGACTGAAGCCTTGCAGGGAACTGCGCACAGTCTGGTCGTACCAGCCCGTGTAGTACAGCATCGGCACCTACATATGTACGAAGAGAGTACATCCAGTGTCGTGTTTTGGTTGGAGCTTGTTATATGAATATATATATCATAAATAGACCGAGAGAAGGGGGCATCGAGGGTATTATATTACCGTGGACATTTCCATGGCGTGACGGACATGACTCAAAGACAAGTCACCCGGCGTAATGTTGCCATTTGTATGCGAGTCGCGGTTGAGCGATGGATGGATCTACACCATGATGCTATTTAGTCGTGTCAATTACTACTATTGTGCTTTCGAGTGAAATTTCATTGTGTTGTGGTTTCTCGTTGGAATTTAAATCGATTTGATTGGCTACCTCAGTTGACGTCAACATCATTAGCCAATCAAAACCTTTGCAATGAAATGCAACCAATCAGATCGATTGTGGATCAGTTTGGCCCCTCCCCAAATTTGTATCAAGTCGACAATAACGTTACTATTATTATTATCCATGATTTTGCAACACAGTCATGGCAACGAAAATGTCGAATAATTTATCAAAATGTCAGGTAAAATGGACAAAAAGGGCTAAAATCTCGTACAACCTAGAAAAGATTTTACCTCTGCTTTCCAATTGGTTTCGTGCTCGGCTACAGCACACACCTACTCATGACCACACAAGGGGGTGAACTATATTGATATAAAATCGAGGTGAAATCTCACCAGGTCGTCCCAGTCGCGGGATGCAGGGGTGACGCCTTGAAAGAACAGCCGACCTAATCCCATCATGGCCGGCAGGTCGCTCATCGCATTGCGATCCAAATACGCCGTCAACTCGGCCCATTTTAGTGTGAAAAAGTGTTGCGCAATCCCTCCTATTATACTCTTCAAATCAAATCGACCACCTGGATGGAATATACTTACTATATATAAATATGTATGGCATATATTTAATGCTTCAATCTATATATATATATATATATATATATGTATGGATATATAACAACTGTTTGTAGTAGAATCATCATACCCGGAGACGCAATGTCGCTGTACATGTCGTAAAACATGTACATGGGCACGCACGCTTTGATGGCGGGGTGGTGGGTCGACACTGTTAGGTACGCCGCCGTGGCTTCGTAGCTCATGCCCCACAGCCCCACGCGACCGTTGCTCCACGGTTGTCGAGTGATCCAGTCAATTACGTCGACGCTGTCTTGGCGTTCGAGGACGTGCCTACACATATGTGGATTGTGTTTAGAGAATGCGTGGCTGGTAGCGTGCCACGTCATTTGATTGACCAACCACGGGTGCAGTACAGTGCCAAAGGACGCGCCCGTGCCGCGAATGTCCATGGCAACGACCGCGTAGCCAGCTCCAAGCATGCCTTCGTAGTACCGAGTGTGGAGAAAGCTGAACGGGCGGCCTTGGTTGGCCAAGAGACGCCACGGCCAGCGAAGGGAGATGGATCGAAAGTACCGCGTTTGCGTGAGAATGCAAGCTCGAGGTGATGCGCATATGCTGTCGGTTGGAAGATACAGGTCAATGGCTATGCGTGTGCCATCGGTGGTAGTAATGTACTGCGACGTCATGGTGTACAATGGTGGAGTTGTTACGTTCGATGCTTGATAGTCGAATCGATCGCTAGGTTGAGGTCGCGCAAGGGCTGCCTTGATCTTCTTGTACGGAATGTACACAACCAGCGCACATAACAACAACTACACACCAAGCAGGATGAGACTATGGTTGATCAGCGACGGAAATATGTACGGGAAACAGCAAGACGGCGCTCCCAAACAGCACAGTACCCGTGGCAACCTTCCCTACCCCATGTATCGTGTCATGTACGATAAGGCGTGGAACGTACAGATGAGGGTGTTCCGCGGGTAGACTTCGTGCATGTTCATTGCTGGCTTCATCACCCTTGTCATTTGACACAAGTGTGTGAAATTAACCGTATCCGGATATCTAAATGCATGTCAAAAAGTCCGAATTTTACCAGTCTGCACTGAATTGAAATGTCCAAACGACGAACTCATGATAACAACGCGATTTGAACCAATAGGAACGCCCTACTCAGGCCGGTCAAACAGACTTGTCTACTGTACCAGAACAAGGCTAATGCACAATGATGCTGACATTTCCGTTTTCACGACCCAGGGGCGATGGTACATATGTTGTGTTGATGAAGTGGAAAGTGATCTCCCGTCGCTCTACATACTGTACCGATCGAAGTACAGTAGAGAGGTGATCCGTCGTCGCCTTAAGGACAAGGTCCGTCCATCCCCTGAGTCAATTCAACTGGCCAAGACTAGACCAAGACTCGTTCACAGCTGTACTGTATGCACCCATGCTCTCATACCGGTAATGTCCCATTGCAATCATGCCGGATAAACGGACTTTTATATGCGGATATCCAATGGGAACACGTTGTGAGTTTTCAATCCGCCAATCAAACTGTCTTTCGTGGGACCAAGACACGCACGAAAAAGTATGATGGCGACTTCGTCATTCATTTGTGAATTCGCCGAGCAAGTTGTTAAGGCGATGGTGGAGCATGTTGTGTTGTTCAAGTGGCAGGATGACGCTACCCCCGAGGCCATCGAATCCGTTGGCCAATCTATCTTGGCCTTGAAAGACAAGATTCCTGGCGTCATCGACCTCGCTTATGGCGAAGACTTCACCAAGACCCGCTCCCAAGGGTTCACGCACGCGCTTGTAGTCCGCATGGCCAACAAGGACGTCGTGGCGTTCTACGATGCGCACCCCGAGCATGTCAAAGTGATCACTCAAATCCGAACCATCGTGGACAAGATCCTCGCCGTGGACTTTGAATCACCCCGCCACACCCCCAACTAATGCCTGTAATACCATTGTTTGACCCTAGTATGTAGCTTGTTCACCACGAACCAAATCAATGAACATACCCGCATAACGTTAAGACATTCATGATGATTTGGAGGCCAATGCATGAGCTACCGACTTCTCCTCTTCGTGATCATACCGGTAGCGTTGATCGTTTTTCATTCTGATAGATTAATCTCATTTGGGGAGTTGAGAAAATTGTAAAACCATCGGTTTATGCCACTTATTTATACCATCGATTGAGTGCCATTTATTTATTTATTTATTGGTTTTGGTTCAGAACAATAATGCCAATACTGTACACTATTAATAATACCAGTACAGTATTAACCTCTGGTTTTGTCAAATGATGCAGGTATCGGATTGGTGGAAATCGTTTGGGGTATATCTTTCCAAAGTGATCATGTCAACCAAAGCACGCGGTAAGTTGACCTTGGAGCGCGTGCTGGGGCTATCGACATGCAGCAATGCTGGACTCAGCGTCAACCGCGTAACGGGAGATATTGCATATCCCGCGGGATGTGTTGTTGTCATGTACAACTTTCAGCGAGACAAGCAGACGCGGTACTACCGTGTGGAAAAGCCCGTGTCTTCGATCGCGTTCTCGGTCGATGGTGCATTGCTTGCGATCGCCGAGAAAGGCCAGGCGCCATCCATCACAGTATGGGATGTGGAGACAGGTCAACTCAAGGCAGAGTTCAAACGACACAAGTACGGCGTGATTGCCATGGCGTTCTCGGCCGACTCTCGCTTCCTCGTGTCCATGGGGTTGGTGCACGACAAGATGCTGTACGCGTGGGATCTGTCCACAAACGCCGTTGTCGGCGGGGCGGTGGTCGAAGACAAGATCTACGCCGTGGACTTTAGCGCGGACGGCCGCTTCTTTGTCACTGTGGGATATCGTCATGTTCACGTACGCATCATGATGTCCTTTCTCGTGGATGTTGATGTGTGCGTGTGTTTTGTAGTTTTGGCCCCTCGATGATGACAACATGTTTCGAGTGACCGGTAAGGTCGTCGCTGACCCCCCGTTAGTCGAGCTCGCATCGACCCCAGCGACCATGTCCCGTCTCGCCGACGCTACGTTTGTAGACGTGGGCTGCGGCGCATCGAGCAAGACCGTGGCGCTCACCGCCGACGGGTTTCTGTGCTGTTTTGGCGGAACCGTGATGGAGCGCCTAGTGTCATTGCAAGCTTCTCGTGGCTTTGCCATGTCCGTCTCGGCCGACGTCGTGGCGGTCGCCGGCGCCGCCGCCACCATCCGGTTGTTTGATCCCAGCACACTCGAGTACAAGCAGACGTTGCCGTTTCCTCCCTCGCATGGCCGCATGAACGACAAAGACCAGTTCACTGCCGCCTTTCTCACCCCCCCGCACCCAGACGAGTACGCGGCGGCGGTCGCCGTGCGCGTGGTGGACGCTACCCATGTGGTCGCAGTGTACGCCGACCACACGTTGGTCGTGATTGAGCGGTCGACGGGGACCGTTCGTCGAACGTTCTTTTTCCACCATGGCGCTGTCACAGATTTGCAACTGGTCGGGCGGGTTCTAGGCGTGGACGCCCGCGGGCGCCCCCACCTGTCGAAAACGTCCAACGCGCCGGATGGGACGTTCGTCACGTGCTCTGACGACAAAACCATCCGGTTCTGGCACCTCGACAGACACAAAAAGTCGCCACCCCACACCACCTGGGTCAACCCGTACTGCCCCGAACTGCTGCATGTCGTGTACGCACAAGGCGCGACCCCCTCCACTTCCCCCCTTCCCCTCGCCGTGATCGACATGCACAATCCGAAAGACACAGCCGACACGCGCGACGGCTTGAAATGCGTCGCCGTGTCCGACCGCACTGTCGCCGTTGGCTCCAACGACGGAGCCATCCACGTCGTTCAGCTCGACTGGCCAGCGATGCCCCAGCGGATCCTGGACAAAGCGCATGCGACTGCGGTGCTCACAGTCGCGTACTCTCCGTCGGGGGTACTGCTCGCGTCGGGGGGGCGCGACCGGCTCACGCACGTCCATGACGCCGCACACATCCGAACCAAAACACTGGAAAACCACTCGGGCGCGGTGGTGGCTGTGCAGTTTACGGCCGATGGCAAGCGATTGATCTCGGCCGGGGCCGACCACAATCTCGTGTTTACCCAGGTACAGTTTATGGCCCTTGAGTATGTGTGTGTGTTGATGCCAAACACGTGACCTCTAACCATCTTTGACACACGTGATTGATATATTGTCGTTTTACCCAATATTTGGACGAATTTTATGTTGATTCACCAAATCTATCGATCGATTCTTTGCCCTGAATTTTGTATGTCAAAAGGTGTCCTGTGGTGTTTGGTATCACACTAATTGGAGTCACAATCTAATTTGATGATGGTTTCCTGCAATCTGATTGGCTAAATCCTTCTTCCGATTAATTCTGACCATTCATTGGGATGTGTCGATGATCAGTCGCTCCAGTTTAGAATAAACACACACAACAATATATATATATATATAATATACATAGTGATGATGTGTATCATTTGTACCGAATCCACAATATGTGATAACGTTTATGTACAATCATTTTATGCACACGTTGTTTTACTGGGTTCTTGTACAGGTGAGCGAGCACCGAATATTTCGGTACAATTCATTTCCCGTGCAAGGCGGCAAACTGCATGCGATGGCCGTGGTGGACAACGACTATGTGCTGACGTGTGTAAATACATGGGTGGATGTGCATACGCTCATTAGCAACAAGCACGTGCAAACGCACCACGTGGGCGAGCATCATCGCGTGGCGCTGAGTCCTGGCGCGGCGCTTGTTGCGTTGGGGGGGTCTTCCCACGACAAGTGCATTTATATTGTGGACTTTCACTCGGGTGAAGTGCTGGCCAAGGCGGCGGGGCACGGAGACGCCGTCACGGGGCTCCAGTTCACGCTGGACGGACGGCGACTGGTGAGCACGAGCAACGACGGATGCATCTTCGTCTGGCGGCTCTCGGATGACCTGCAAAGTGCATTGAAAGCCAAATTGCGCCCCGTTGCCCAGGCTATGGAACCCCCACCCGCCCCGCCGCTAGTCCTGAAAGTAGTAGCCCCTGCACTTTCGATTATATCACCAAATTCTGGGACAGCAGCGCCCCTCCAACACATTGAACCCACCGCGGCAGGTGGAGTGTTACCACCACCACCACCCCCGCTACTCCCGCCCCCGCCACCAGCCTCCAAGTTGCCGCTACCGGCCAAACCCCAACCGATCAAACCTCCTGTTGTGAATGCCACTGTGGAAAATGAACTGAAGGAATGGCTGGCGGCACGAAATCATCACACCAAAATGGACGAACCAACGCCAAACCTTGTCGAAACTGACGACGTTGGATCGGGGGCGGGGCCATCGCTGCTCAACAAAGAGTTGGTGCCCCACTGGGCTCGGACGTTTCGTCAACCACCGCCTCAGGCCAGTGACGCCGCCACGTCATCGCTGGAAGACGGAGGTCCAAGGGCTCCAGGTGGAAAGTGGTCGGTCAATGCAATCCCCGACCCATTGAAGCACGAAATCACCGTCAAAACGAACGACGACGAGTCACCCCCACGACCTCCCACGACACATCCCCCTGTCTCACTCGGAGAGATGTCCAAGGTAGTTCCCAACTGGGCCAGGACTATCCGACAGCCCAAATCCCCCAAGACAATCGCCCCAACGAGCCAGACTAAATGGGGAGCTCATGGCGTGGTGGATAGCATTGCGCTATGCGACGACGACAATGTGAGCAGCAGCAGCGACGATGACGACGTGTTGGAAATGAGCGAAACGCTGTACATCAAGCAGTCGAATGGCGAGTTGCATCAGGTCGAAGTCCCGTTGCCTCCAACCGCCGCGTCGGCGCTGCTGCCGACGTCGTCGTGGTCCCTTGCGCACGAACGAGACCTCCTCAAGAAAAAGAAGAAACAGCAAGAGACAGCCAACGCTGTTGCTGACATGCAAGCAAAGCTTGGTCTTCTGGGCATTTTGAAACCAAAGCCGCCGACGCCTGTGACATTGGGGCAGCATAACACAGTGGACAACGAAGGAGCAGCCCATGGAGCGCTGGAACTCGCTAAGTCGCCAGTGCACGCGTCGATCGTGGCTGGGTATGCGGCTGAATTGGAGCCAGAAACCAAGTACAATAGCCCTGATGGTAGTGTTGAACCACGAGGTAGTCGAACGTCAAACAGCAAGAATGGTGCTGCCCACTCTCCTGTGGACGTGTCCGTGCAGCAAAACGTCGTCTCAGATGCAAACCAACAACCCTTCGGCCATGTCGTTTCAGAGGACAAAGCGGACGCTGTTCAAGCAAAGCCTCCTCCAGGGCATCAACCACGCGACGACGACGCCAACCGGACGACTGCCTCAACGACGAAGGCCAAGTCGTCTGTGGACCAAAGTGTGGACGTGCAGAGTTCACTGAGTCATTTTGTATCGGGGTACCTCCCCCCCCAGCAGCAGCCGAAGGCTCCAACGACAACGGGCAACGGATCTACACTCGTGACGAGCTTCGACACGAGTAGTACCCTTGGGGTAGATGCATCGTTGAGCCAGTTCACTTCGGGCTACAATCGATCGCCTAAAGCTCGTCCAAGTGTCGATGTACCTGTGGACATGTCCTTGAGTCAGTTTGTATCGGGGTTTCATCCAACAGAACATGAACAAGCTACAGTCGTCCAGCAGATCTCTACGACAACCACACCAAGGGAGCAAGACAGCGTCGACAGGACGCCCGTGGACATGTCGCTCAGTCATTTTGTATCGGGATTCCATCCAGATCAAACGCGTACAACCCCCACCGACCAGCACACGTCGGCTGCTCTCCCCATTATCATGGAGCAGCAAAGCATCATCGTCGATGAGACGTCGACCCCTCTGGACATGTCGTTGAGCCAGTTTGTATCGGGGTATGAACATGCTGCTACCCCCCCGTCTCCACCACCCGCACTAGTAGTACTGCCGCCAGCATCAATCATCCAACCAAGCGTCATTGATTGGACGCCAGAGAACTTGTCCCTCAGCCATTTCGTGTTGGGTTATTCCTCGCCCCAAGAAGAATCAAATTCCAGTCAAGCACAATCAAAAGACCTTGGACCTCTACTACTGCAAGATCACAACGCGTCGACGGGTCCACACTTGAGCGTGGACTGCACTACACCGGTGGATGCCTCGCTGGGCCAGTTTGTTACGGGCTACTATGGACGACAGGTCTCAGCCGAGCACGACGACGACGTCGATCTTCATCATGTCCTGGTGGCTGCAGACGTCCACAACCTTTGTCCCCGTGATTCCCTTGAGCAGCAGTCGCTTGAGACAGCCAGCGAACCCCACAGCGCCTCGTCCAGCTTTGACGACGACGACAATGGTCATGCGCTTTCAAAAGACGTATCGCTGAGCCAATACATATCTGGATACCGGTCCAGCGTCGAATTGGTCCCAGTGGACATGTCGTTGAGTCATTTCACATGTGGGTATACCAGTCAAGTGACTCGGGGAGCTCCTCGAGATCCTCCCATCCTCGAAGACCACAACAGATCCGTTGAGTCCAATAGCAGCGTCATCAAAGCATGTGTGGACAGTGATGACTCGTCGAGTCCACAACACTTGGAAGGACTTCATCATACCAGCCAGATGATGGCCGTAGAGTCCGATGCAAGTCGGGACAAGGACAAACTAGTGACCATCTCCGTGAATGTGCCAGCTGCGGCAGCTTGTTCAACTTTGATTGACACAGTACATGTCCCCCCCCCAATCAAAACGATTGTGCGTTCCCTAAGGTATGATGTAGTAGTACCTACCACAGATATACATTCTTGTTCTGTAGACATACTCGTCCTGTCCCCTTCTTGCCCATTATTGAACGAACTCAAAACATGTTGTAGACACTTGGAGGTGAATTTAGAAACAACTGTGCGCCAACTCGATGCCATTCGACCCGGGGACGATGCCGACGGTACGATAGAAAAGCGTATTCCGTGGGTACTACTAACATCATGGGGTGCATGTAGTCGCTGAAATCGTCGCGTTGGCTGCTACATTGCGGTCGAAGATTGCACACTATGCCGAGAAAACTCATTAAAAATAAACACTCGACCTTGGTGCTATGTATGGTTTCTTGTATATTTTAATACGTGCCATTGCCGAGAATGGCCACGGCACTGTGGGAGAAAATCCCTCCGTTGCCGTACACGAGTGCCCGTCGGACGTTGGGAATCTGACGGTTCCCCGCACAGTTTGTGATCTGATGGAATGCTTCAATGACGTTGTACATGGCAGGGACTTCCCATGGCGCCCCAAAGGCCAAGAGGCCGCCGTGGGTGTTGATGGGGAGGATGTCCTGCACGCGCTTGTGCTTGCGTTGTTTGAGTTCAAAGTACTTTTCCAGCATGTATCGTCCGCCAAAGCCTTGGGGGGCCAGGCCCACGGCCTCCACGGCGCGAATCAGACAGACTGGGTAGCAGTCGTACAGCCCGAAAAAGTCGATGTCGCGTACAGAAATGTTGGCTTCTTCGTACGCTTGCAACGTGGCTACATATCGTTTTAGTGCAATTTGTGTCAAAACTGCAGTACCTTGTTCACACGAAAACATGTCTTCGTCAATGTCTTCGAGCGCCGGAGGATACAACGGTCCGGACGCTTCGCCCCCGCCAATGATGACTGCGCCAGTGCCCGTCGGAATGCCCTTGCGCTCCATGAACCGAGCCGATGCGACCAGCAGCGCCGCGCCGCCGTCTGCTCGACGGGCACACTCCAACAAGTTGGTCACGGATGCCACTGGGGGGGACGCCAACACGTCTTCGATGGAGCGAGGGGTCTTGGTCAATGCCATCGGGTGCTGCGATGCCATGATCGACATCACCGCCGAGCACGCCGCCAGTTCCTCGCGCGTCACGCCAAAGTTCTTCATTTGGTAGTTGGCCACGCGATCTAAAGGAAACATGGATTATGCGGCCGCGGGTTTTAGATGGGGATTCCATGGATACCGACCGTAGCCAGACGGAATGACAGGCGACGACAAGCCAGAATTGGGATGCCAGCAGGTCTGGTCGGCGCGGCGAAGAAACTCTTCGCCGGAAAGTTGGCGCACGGCGTCCCCGGCTACAACTGCCACGCAGTCGACGCCTTCGGATTCCTACGATTAAGTCGACGTTCAAGCTCGTTCGACGATGTTGTGGTGGATCCATGGTCGTTGTACGTACCACCATGCGCTTTGCAGCCAAGAGGGCAGTGATGGGACCGGCACCGCCAGTATCGACAGTGCGCACGACTACATTCTTCGCAGGCAGCATACCAATATGCGAGGCAACGTAATGCGCTTCCATGAAATGCGGGTCGGCGAGCGAAGGCACAGCGATGAGGCCGCCAATGTCCTTGAGCTGGACACCGATGGCCGAAGTGGCGGAAAGAAGCGCTTCCTCCATGAGCTCCACGGGAGATTTGACAGACTTTTCAAGTGTCGTCCATCCCGTGGAGATCAGTCGCACAACCTTGGACGAACGGGTGGGTGCCATGATGCCGTCCGTAGAAGCGAATTTGTGGAGTTGCCCAGTGAAGGTGTTATCAGTGGTGTCGTCGTTCCAAGTGTGTTAGAATGAATGTTTTACCTACGTATTGTGTCGGTGGTACACTTTCATCGATTGGCTTGTAAATACTCGTGTGATTGGTCCGAGCGCTCGAAATAAAGCAATTGGATTCGCTAATTAGGGTATGCGCTAGCGAATGAAATCAAGTGATTGCTTTAGCGCAATACCATTGGATATAAATGATTACAAGAACGCAATGCCATTGGATGGATATCCTAGTAGATAGTAGCATACTGTACTCGGAGTACTACCAGATTTCTGAGTATGCGACAGGCAACAGTTGATTTGAACCTTTCAAAATGCAAAGGGGGCCTTAAAATTCACTATAATTGGCACATACAGTACTCAGTTAACTTTTGCTGCCGCCGATCCGCCTTTTGTGGTTGATGTTCGCTTGTGAACGACGCGGCCAACAAAAACTCAAGTACGAGGCACACGAGGCTAACAACACCTACAACCACCCAATTGATGGACGACTTATTCACAGCAGCGAATCGGATACGACCAGTGACTTCCTCGGAATTCGACCAGCCACGCCACGTAAATGCTGGCTTTTTTGGGGTAACATCGTTTGGAGGCAGCAACAGAAGGGATGGGAAAGTTGTTTCCATGCGCCAGCCTGGAATCAATTTTTCAACGGCGGTGGGGTTTGCATACGGCACCCAGTGCAGTTGGGAGCACGAGCGAGTCTTCTGCTCTGTCGCCAAAGTTGACCCCTGCAAACTCCAAGTACTGTGTAGGGTTCGTACGGTGCCGTGGCCATACACGTCCAACTCATGACCATCCATCTGGCCTCGAAATGGAAACCCCAGCTTGAACTTGATGCGATTATTGGTCCGCTCTTGTTCAATTTGTCGGATTTCGGCAGTGGCCGCTGGGAGCTGGTAAAACCTACTACGTACAGTAGTCCCCCGCAATAGGGAACCCACAATAAATCAATATCCTCGCAAAATATATTCGTTCACAAGATGGTGCAAAATAAATTTAAAGAGGCTGATTGAAATTTCAAACGACACATGTTGCGAAAATGCACTTGGTTGTCAAAATGCCGTCAACCTCGACACGGATGAGACTCACTGTCGAGCAAAAGCGCTCACTATTGACGCACCACAAGTCCATCCTGGCATGAGAGGACTTGAAGTGCGAATTTGGGCTCAGCATGCGTTTGGGCTGCCACGTGTGCCCCAAAAGTCGACTATGCGACTATGTCTCGTTGGCTCAACACCCAGAGTGACCACATGGACGTGCATCCGTCACATAAATCAGCACACAAACCTCGCCTACCGGACCTCTACAAAGTAACTCTAACTGCTGGCGCCATACGGGTATACTGGACGAAGAGATGTATGATTTGATCGAGAGTATGAACAACCTTTGAGGAATATAATGTGCGCATTGCTGTTGGTGTGCGTTTTGTCTTCTGGAGGTTGCCAGGGTATCAACCCCCTCCGAATATGATGTCCATTTTTGAATCCAAGCACTTTCCAATACCATATGCTAACTCTTGTCCAATCAGAATCGAGCTACCAATCAAATATGCCTTTTTAACTTTATACTTGTGTAAATTGAAAACCTCTAAAACCATAGCGCCAACAAAGGTTCCCTACTACGGGGGACTACTGTAGTAGGAAATTTGTATGTATTTTATTTGAATTAAAACCAAATTAAAATAAAAAAACAAAATGTTTACAGTATTTGTCGTTGATCTGCACCATGAAATACAAAACGCGAATATAATTCTATAATTCAATACAATCTTGAATAAATTAAACAATTCGAATATTTAAATAAATTCTTCAAATTTAATTCCATGGTGCAATGGTACGACAAAATGTCTAATAAAATAAATAATGTACGCAATATATATCTTATAGTTAACTGTAAACCCAATGGATCGTAACTATTACCTCGAAGTAATAGCTACTAGTATCAATTACTTCGTAGTATGTACTGTATATATATATGGTGGATTCGGTTCAAACGTCAGACCTGGTCGAGTCAAATCTCGCCACCGAATCAACGCTATTGGGTGATCCAATTTTGAAATGTCGATCTGACTGGCTCTTGTAGAAAGGACAAGTCAATTCATTTAACCGATTCGAACTTTCAGCGTGATACACTGTGGAACGGATACATACAGTACCGTATTCGAATGCACAACGCGAAGTTTGGACGTTTATTGCGAATTCACAATCTTATTCCGACAACAACAACAATACTACTTTGAAGTAATATCATACAATCCCTCACTGTCCAAGAGATATTACGATATTTGGACATACTTGGCTGGAACTGCCGTGTAGTTGTCCATCATGCCACGCACACTGGGGGATACAGGTCGTAGCCATGTGTCCACAGTCGCGACGCCCGTTCAAACTCTTCTCCGTCAAACATCCACGGGGTATGCTAATCAACCAGCACACGCTTTTCGGCATGGCATTTCCCAAACGAGAAACCTGCATGCACCCCATAGTGCCTGCAGGTGGAGTTTCTCCAGCCTGTGGATGGAGTCCGCCCCAACGTTTCGAACGTTTTGAAACCCACCCCGCTTGGTTTGGCATACACGGTTACTAGAGATGACTTCTCGTTTTCTTTTTCCGTAAAAATTGAAAGCAAAGTAAAAGCAAGGGATTTTATATCGACGATATCGGTGATAACGATTTTTCCATATCCGTAGACTAGATGGAGCCAAATTCGTGGACTTCGTGGATGATCGGCGAGGTCATTGTGAAGTCTTCCCATGGGTCATTCGCCGTTGAAGCATTGGGGCTAGTAACGATAGGGACGACAGAGGCATACGAAGCATTGAATTGATTGAAACTCATGTTGTGTTAGTTCAGTTGTACTATCTATAGGACGCTCGGAAAGGCGTAGCTACGAAGGCAAGGAGTGGCTTGCATCTAAAGTAGCACGCCTCGGCAACTGGCACCAAAGCGCCAGCTGCAGAGGAGTGCTTCTATATAAGTACTTATCTGGTGATTTTAAGATATCGTTGATAGCCACTGGTACAACTCCGGCCGGATGTACTGCTAGGCGCCGTCGACTAAGCTGCGGCGTCGGCGCCGCCTAATTTGCTTTTCGTGTATACATGTGATGATTCTACGTCACTATGCATAAAGATGGAGGTATATACTTGTTCGCTCCCACCGCACCTCTGATCGACCTCCACTTCATCCACCGCGCCTCTGATTGACCTCCACGGCTTCTTACAAGTCAACAGATCTGGCCAATCATGGCCGAGGATTCGAATCCCCAAAATGGACCCATTTCAGAAGTTCCGGAGTTTTCCTCAACCCTGTGAAGGTTATTTTAAGGATAAAGATAAATATACTCATCTCCGAAATCTCCCTACTGTTTGCTCTTCGCACTGTGTTGTACAAGGTAAGTACGTCGTCACCGAAACAGCCAACACCCATCGGGCGATCCAGGAAAACTCGTGTGCATGTTTTTTCAAATACAAAAAACAAATGTTGATATGTTAAACAAACCAACTTGAATGCATTCTTAGCAGTTGACGTCGCCTGTGTTGAGAGCTCGGTAGAGCAAGGTCGAATTGGTCGCGAGCACAAACAAGTTGTTGCGTTGAACTGACACATGCGCCATGTTGGAGGATGCGCCGGGGAGGTCGAACCAGTTTGGTGACGTGGCGAGCCCAGCGTCGGCGCACTGGATTTTGCTTCCACTGGTCACCACGCCACAGAGGCGGAGACCGTCAAACGATATTTGGGAGTACGTGGCAGAGTTGGCGATGGCCTTCCAGCAGGCCGTGCCGGACGCGAGTTTCGTAGACGTACCTGTCCACAGCTTGTTGGTGGCATCGAGGCCAAACAAGAGACCATTGGCCACGACCAGTTGCTTCAAACTGCCGTCCAACAACGTCCAGTTGGGGGTGCTGGACTGGATGTTTTGCCATGCACAGTAGACTTGCGACCCTCTGTTCACACCGCATAGCACCGTGCCGTCGGTCGCAATGTTGTTCAGGGCCCCCCACTGCTGCACCCAACTTGGGGACGTAGCCCTGCACGTAGGTGCGTAATAGATGGCGTTTGCAGAATTCACACCGTAGAGCACTCCATTGGCGCCCACCACCACTTGTTGGAGGGCTCCTTGGAGTTGCACCCACGCGACCACCGACGGGTTGTTGGCGTCAAAGGTACTGCAGTAGATGGAACCGGCGCTGTCAGTGCCGCACACGTTCGAACCGAACGACGACACAGTCACGAGGGCGATGTTTGGGGTGGGCACCACAGTCCACGCAGCAGCGACATTCGATCGAGGGGTTGTAAGGGGGGTTGTTGTAGGAGTAGTACCAGGCAGTAGATCTTGGTAGAAAATGTGCCCAGCGGCGTCGACGCCGTACAGCGACGCGCCAAACTGACTCACTTGCGCCAGCTCGCCTTCCAATGTTGTCCACGTTAGAGAGCCGTTGCCATTGATCGCATTTCCGTCTGCTGACGAGCACACGACCTTTTGCACCGGTGTGACACCGCACACGCGCACTCCGTCGTACGAAACTTGCTGCAGTTGAATCGTGGGCACAAGTGTCCAACTAGCCACCCCCGACGCGAGCGAACCAGCGGTGACGATGCCTCTCCATAGTTGGTTCTGACCATTCACGCCATAGAGAGTCGACCCCGCGAGGGCGAGTTGGGTAACCGTGCCATCCAATCTCTGCCACCTGACGGACGCGGGGAAGCCGGCGGTGGCCGATGTGTTCGCGCAAAACACTTGATTCCGGGTGGTCACCACACAAACCGTCGACCCGTCGACGGTGACTTTGGAGGCTTCGCAAAATGGGGTCAATACTTCCACAAACGTGGCTGTGGGACCGACGGGGCCGGTGACGAGCTTGCCGTCGGTCTGGATGCCAAACACGATGCCGTCACGTACCGCCACGTGTTTAAACGCAACGTTTGGCAACGTCCACCACGACGCAGGTTGTTTTTTCTGACTGCAGTACACCTTGAACTTGCCGAGGGCATTCAATCCACATACAACGGACTTATCGACGGAAATTTGCGTGAGCGATCCAAGCACGGCCGACCACCCTGCTGGGGCATCCAGGCAAGGGGGCACAGGGTCGATGACGCTCTGGCCTGACACAACTGCGAGTGACAGGAATGCCGCGTTCACCAAGATCGTCATGCAAAAAACCATTGCTGGTGGGATGAAGGTGCGATAAACAAAAGTGGGGATAGTTGGTGCAATCTAAAATCGTCGGGTCATCGAATTTTAGGTGTTCCAAATTCGAACAAACATGGAGGACGAGAAGAATGCGGAACAGTATCCGTTCAATTCTGTCATAGAACATTTAGATAGCTACTTAGCTAGCTAAATGTTCTACTACCATTGAAGACGATCAGAAGTGAATCGTTTGATCAATAAAGATACGTAGAAATTTAATACCTCAAAGCACCCCTGACGTACTCGGAGCCAAACGACAGGGTATTGTTCGTGCATCGTATTGCAGCAAAATAAATAAATTAAGACGATTATCCTTAGCGAGTTGGCTTACAGTACCACAGATCTTCAAATCTCCTTTGCTAGTGAGCAGTAAGAGGGCGTTGGGAGTACCAGAGATAGAGCAATTTAGAGTAGCCAGACTAACTATAGCGAACCGGGGAGAAACTCGGCATACAACGTGATACCAAATTGTGTTCAAACCAAAACATGATAACAATTGAACATTTAGTATGATTAATATCAATCTCTCTCTACTGTATCTCACAGGGTCATATCACTCTTTCGAACATCTCCATAAGCTCTTGATAAAGTAACATTACAGGCAGACTTGCCCGATCAGCAGAATGCTTTCGATCGAATTTCGCCATCCGTTGGAGCCAAGGTGGGAGATGGCGCCGCTGTAGTTGTTGAATTGTTGTTGGAGCCACTGTCGTGGTAAGCGCTAGCGTAGTAGTTGGTGCCACCGTAGTCGTTGGGGCTAGCGTAGTAGTCGGGGCTAGCGTAGTAGTCGGGGCTACGGTGGTAACAGGACGTGTCGAGTTGAGGAGCAAAGTCGAATCAGTGGTGCTGACAAACACGTTGTCCCCTTGGACCGACACCACCGCAATGTTGGAGCCTGGCACGGAGTACCAGTCGAACGGCTTCGATGGGTCGAACGCGGTGCGGAGAATCGTGCTAGCCGTCGTAATACCACACACGCGTTGGCCGTCATAAGGGATCTGCGACAGGAGAGTCGGAGGGGGCAGAATGAGCTGCAACTTGATAGTGCCCGTGGAGGCGGTAAACAGTTGGTTCCACAGATCTAGCCCCACGAGGCGTCCGTTCGCCACCACGACCTGCCTCAGCCCGCCATTCAGTTGGGTCCAGTTGGGGCTGGATGTCTTGATGCTATTCCATATGCCCTCGACCTTGTTCTTGCGTGCACGGCACACACAAATTTGCCATTGTCCAACGACACGCTCTTGTAAATTTGGCCACTGATCTGCACCCACGCCTGGGAGGGCAGGATCTTGGGCGAGAACCACACTTCGTCCTCGATGTTGACGCCGATGATGCTGCGCTTGGACCCTACGACCACCTGCTCCACCTCGCCTGGCACGATCTTCCAATGCCGCACTGGATCTTGCTTTCCCCCGCACCCACCGCCACCACACGGTGGTCCCCCCCGGCGACATCGACTTAAGGGGGCTGTTGGTGTAAGGCGACGGCAACATCGTCCGGTTCGGGTACAACGCTTTATCCACGGCAATGTTGGCACCGGCAACGGAGTACCGGTTCAACGACTTCGTGGGGTCGTACGAGATCTGCGTCAGGGGAGTCGGAGTAGGCGAGACGATCAGCGGCCACTTGAGGCTGCTCGTGGCGATCTTGCCCGTGGGGGCGGTAAACAGTTGCTTGGACCTTTCTTAACCCCACGATGGGGTTGAGCCAAAGGCGATAGTTTGAGGGAAAGGGGGCTGGCATCGAAACACCACGACGTTTCCTACTGCAACCTTTGGAGATGGTTGCTAGAATTCAAGTCGACCTGTATACGGTTGATGATGACGCAGTGATATAGTACGGTGGTTGTTGTTCCAGGGAACGGATTGCGAGCCGTGTGAAACCGACAGGCTACAGTGCGTCGTCAGTGTAGATGCTCCAATGGCCCTCCAGGATGGAGACGGTACTACATGTATTCGAGGATATTATAACGTGATGTTCGATTGAATGTCTCTGGTGTATTCTATCGATCTAATAATAAGCGAGGAAGGCAATTAAAATACTTGAGCCCCAATGTACATATTCCACGGGGCACTTGCACGGCGGAGAGCCCGCCTTTTGGCACCAGGCGTTGAATCGTTGCCGATGCGCATACTCAACCAAAGCAACGTCCATGGCCAAACTCTAACATTGCTGATATGGTGTATCGTAGATTCTCAATTGAGACCCGTGCGTTTCCCATGGCAAAGATCGCAACATTATTGCAATGTGAGGTGCACTTCACTCGAACGAAAAGGTGAAAT